CATAAGTATGTGGTGTAGGGTCACCTAAACTATAAATAGTAAAATTTACGAGTATTTTATTTAAATCCAGAGTATCTGAGATAACTAGAAATAAAATATATAATTTATGTTATTAATTTTTTTGTATATTGTATAATTTATATTTTCTTACAAAAGAAAAACTTAAGGAAATATAAATAAGATAAATAGTTATGTTTTTGTAATCGAGATTAGTTTATATCTTTCGATGGAAAATGATTGAATTTGTCACAGCTACTAGCAACAATGAATAATTATTTTCTACTTTGTTTTTACTTTTGCTGCAATAATTTCCTTTGATCACATTTTCGTAAACTATAAAAAAATATATAATATAACCTATAGGAACGGGAATTTGTACAAATATCGATTGATCCAAGCTAAATTAGCTTACCGCGGACATTATGAAATAAAATGTAAAAGGTCTTTTTGTTAGAAATGACCGCTGGCGGACTGTAAATATAATAATAAATATAATAAAATACTAAATATAATAATAAATATAATAAAATACTAAATAAAATACTAAATATATAATAATAAATATAATAAAATACTAAATATAATAATAAATATAATAAAATACTAAATAAAATACTAAATATATAATAATAAATATAATAAAATACTAAATATAATAATAAATATAATAAGATACTAAATAAAATAATAACTATAATAATAAACGTAATAAAATAATAAAATAATAATAAATATAATAAAATACTAAATAAAATAATAACTATAATAATAAACGCGTAATAAAACAATAAAATAATAATAAAATAAAATAATAAATATAATAACTGGCTCAACTGTAATATAATAGTCTTTGACACGTTATCTCCCAAATGCAACAACTTCGAAGCAGCTCAGCGAATGAAATCGCAGCTGGAAATTCACGATCGATTAAAGTAATTGCTCGTTCGATTCCCCAACGCGCTGGACGTTCTAATAAAATTTCGCATTCCCGATGATTTCGCAATGCAAATTTATTTCTAAATCCGATGACGAAATAGTGACACTGTTCGCGCGAGTGTCAATGTAATGTGGTGTAACACGTTCGAGGTAAAAGTGTCGAACGAAAAGCATGGAACAGCGTAACCTGTTGTTAGAATGCGGAACAATAATAGCGCGACCACCCTGTACGATAGCGAAGAAACGAAAGGAAAATCGGTCGCGCGACCCAGGATCATGATACCCACACAGAGACGGAGGGCGCGAAGGACATCAAGATGGATCGTCGATCGTTGATCGCGGATAGCGAAGCCGTCAGGACGTATCGGTTTCTCTCCGAAGTGTCAACCGCACGTTCAATTAGACGGGCACGATCGTTGCCTCGATCCTTTCTTCGGCTATACTTACAGCTATATCGGGAACAGTTGCGCTTTGTCTTCCGATCGATCCAAACTGGCTCCGTATGTTCCCCGGCACAAAGGGATTTTTGTCCGCGGCGCTTCTTTTTCCCCTCGGAAAGCCGAGCCGCGAAATAAAATGGAAAAATGTCTATTTTTAGGACGGCAAATCGTTGCAGCGGCTCGTCCCACCATCGATTCGGAAACGCGGTTGCTTTTTATTCCTGGAGCAAGAGACTGGTTATCGGCAAAATATTTGGTGCCAAAAATATTGGCAAAATATTTCATGCGTTTACGAAGAAAATGAGAGTGCAGTTGCAATTCGGAACGCTGGGAGAGTTTGACAAATTGACAAGCTAAAATTATTAATAATAGAAAGTAAAATAATATAATAAAATAAAATAATAAGTAGTAAAATAATAAGAAAATAATAAGTAGTAAAATAATAAGAAAATAATAAGTAGTAAAATAATAGAAAAATCCACAGTCTAGTTATTAGTTACTTACCTGACAAAAATTATGTCGAGCTCGCTGGCATTGTTAACGGTGCACGTTTAATTTTCACTTCTCGAATCAAAAGTCTCTTCTTGGACTCTTGGATTTTCCTATTTAAAGAAGATTGTCTTGTCATTTTTTCGTGATTAAGCAGTCTTTCAAATACTGGAAAACAGTTAAAGAATATTAATAACATGTGTACTTCGTCCCTGCGATTGTTAAATATATTCGTCGACGAAATACATTTTCTCTTGATTCTGGTTTCTTTAAAATTAAATTATAAGAATTTATTATAAGAATTAATATAATATAATAATTTATTAATATATTAATTAATATAATTATTATATATAATTTATATTATATATTATTATATATAATTATTATATATAATTTATATTATATATTATTATATATATATAATTAATATAATAATTTATTATAAGAATTAAAATTATAAGAATTTTATGTTATAATGTATTTAAGTTTATTTAATTAATTGGTCGGTATCTTGGATCCGATTCTTGTCAATTAATTTCTGTGAATTCGTATACAGTTTTACGCAATGGTTTTATAGTATTTATCGCGGTATTGATCTCTCAATAATTATGAAACAAGAAATCCGAAGGCCTGTGATTTTGAGGAGTCGAGCAGTTCGATTGTTGAAACGGCTACCATCTCTCTGTACGGCGGATTCAATGTCGACGGTTTCGAAACTTGGACTGTAACGAGCTCGGAATGTTCGTTGACCCCTAGGTCAATGTAATGCGGAAAATCTTAAGCACGGGCAGCCATTGCAATGAAGTTATCCAGGCGAACAGGCGTTCTGCTCGATCTCTCTGAAAAGTGGCTTCCGTCGCGTCACGGACGTAAACTATTAATCACTTTCAGAGCGAAGAAACGCGCGTTGATGTGATAAATGGAAAAATCTGTCGACAATGCCTCACATTGTAACCGTGCGAGCGTGCCTGGCCATTTCGGTTACATCGTTTGTTAAGTCTCGAGATCGGCGACTTGCAATAACTTTAGTCCAATTTTAGTGCTCGAAGTGAAAACAAAGAGACCACAGAATATATTCTCATGCAATTACTTGGAAGGTAGTTACGAAATCGTTGATCACCGAATTGCGTGCATTACATTTTTCGTTGTTCGGTTCACACGCACTATAGCAATAATTAGATCGCGTAGATCTCGTCGATGGTTAATGAAGAGTTGTAAGTTAAATTATGTAACACTTTCTAATCGTTGTTATGAAATATTACGTGTTCATTGTACTGAATTAACGTCGCTACAGTTATGAAAACGAAAAGACCATAGAAAATTTTAGAAAAATCTGTTTTATATAATTGAATCAAAATTTTATACAATATAAAATTGAAGGTGGTATCTCTTGGTATTTTTTATTTAGTTCTTCGCTTCTAATGTGAACGAAACGGCAGTTTAAATTAAGTTTATACAAGCTTCCGGAACTTCTTGTAGAATGCATCGATAAACAAATTTTTATACCGATTTCGAAACGTCTACTTGTGTTCATTATAACACAAATGAATGGAGAATTTCACCATGTTACGATTCCAAGGTTTTGTGCAACGATTTTTATGCTTGTACCGTTACTAAATATATTATAATATATATGAATAATATTATAATGTTATAAAATTAATATTATATATTACAATAATATATATTAATAATATAATAATATTATGAAATTAATATTATATATTACAATAATATTAATATTAATATTATAGTTACAATATTTTAATATATATTTAATAC